ATTGAGTTGAAAATATATTCACTGAATCAAATTCAAGTGGCAAACAATTTTTTTCATGGAATTCTGAAGAATATTTCTTCCATAAAACACCAATGAAAAATTATATAATGTAAGTCTATGAGAAAACAAGACTCAACCTAGGGAAAATTCAACTTAGGGACACTCTTGAGTCTTGATGCACCAATTATGTCCGCACCTGGGGGTCTGACTGTAATCTTTTAGCGTCATATTATTTGCTGGCTTAAGTGGAAAGATAAAAAAACTATTTTGGAGGTTTTGAAACATTTTAAAGTGTTGTTTCTGTTGGGACCTGCTGCTTGTTACTTCAGTGCGTGATGAAGTTTGTCATGAGTGGGACAACCTGTCAAAGAAAAAATGTTCAGATTACAAGCAATTTATACTTTGCGTGTCTGTTGCGGTTAGACCAAGTCAAATGTCTGAATCTTGTCGACCGCAAAATTACAGGGGACATTTTAAGCGTGAGAAAAAAAAAACGAAGAACTGTTGTTTATCGGCACCGCAAACAATTTCTTCTGAACGCATTTGGACTATACTGGAAAGTGTCCTTTTATTTGCCCGCTATAATTTTGATCATACGTTTTAATCCTTTAAATTGGCTGGTCTCTTTGTTTTGGAAGAAGACAAGTCATACTTTGAGTGGGAATTTCGGAATTGATTGTACTGTTCAAAACGCACTGAAGTTTAATTTAAAATGATAGAGTACAATCCAAATTTAGACAACATTCTTTGATTTTAAACTCATTGAGAAATTTGCAGAATGTTCAGAAGCGCATCTGCTTTGTTTCATTCCGAACCTGTTGAGTTTTATAGAAATTTGGAAGATTAGCAGTGATGAACTTTAGAATTCCGAAAAAAATGCAATACCTTGGATCAGTGTTTGTACAGTAGTTTCAATCTTAGTTTTCGCTGCTGTGAACCGAGAAGTCTTGGATTTTTCAGAAATCTCCCCCAAAATGTGAGAGCTAAGAATATATGACGCTCTCATCTAATCACCCGTATTCTCATGTTGATTTCTTGAGCTTCCAAATTAAGGTTCTTGATGTAAAAGTGCTGCGTCACGAGTCTCATTTGCGTAAGTGCGAAGGAGGTAAACCTAACCTGGCCAAACGTAACCCAACCTGACTCGACCCAGAGGGGGAGAAAAAAAAAGAAAAGAAAAGAAATGCAAAGAGTGAGAGAGAGGGGGAAAATTGCCCATTCTGAAGAGACCATTGTTGCAGAAAATTGCTTCATTTCTTATCTCGAGATGTGGGTTCATTTCATCACCGACTTCTGATTGTCCTGGTGGAATAAAAATTCTTTACACTTGCACCATTGCACGTCACCCATGACAATGCAACATATACGGCACAGTAAAGTACTGTACTTCATTTTCGAGTTATTTGGATACTTATTATGTTTCGACAAAAAAAAGGAAGAAAGACACAAAATATTCAAGTTCCACCCCGTGAGATTTTTTTTTTTTTTATGATTTCAATTAAAATTGGCGAGTCTTTTCGCACTGTCCATCAGTGCGCCGTTTGTTTTTGGTGTTTACTTGTTTCAAATTTTAATAATGTATGTTTTCGACAATGAAATAAATTTGTTTTGAAATATCATTTACTATAGCACTTCAATGACTTTGTTGCCCAAACAGTAATAAATTTTTCTTGGTTCTGCACCGTATTGGACTTAATTTCTGCGTATGGAGGCGCTATTTATTCTTATATATTTTTAAACGCAGTATATTTTATTTTATCAACTTTGAAAATCATTTGCTCACGTTACAACTTATGTAAATCATTGCAGATTGTGGTGGAGTGAATAAAAGGTTTTTTTAATGAGGCTGGTTTTGTGGTGCATTTCTCACGATTAGAATGGAAATTCAAAATTCATCGGTGAAAAAATAAACGAAAATATTCGTATTGCATTTTTTTAATTGCTCTCTAGAGACGCCTTAGGAAGCATTTTTAATACCAATTGAATCTCTGTAAGTCAAATTCCTATGGACGAGGAAAAAAAATTCGACTTGGGGAGGTTTTGATTTTTAGAGGTTTCCAGTTGAGGAAACAAACACTTTTCTTGTGAGGAGAATTGAAAAAAAGTGTGGGAAATCATAAATGAGGATAATTCTGGGCCTAAACTTGCTCCTTAATGAGTTTACCCCTCGGTGAACTTGGAGGCAGGGGTTCATTTGCTATATTTGTCTTTCACTTCCTTTCAAGATCCACCGAATTATCTGTTTTAATCATTTTCTCTTCCACATTTCAAGGAAATAATAACCAGGAGGCCTCAGAAAATTTGACTTGCAGAGGTTTTAGAGAAAAAGACTTTTGAGTTAGGGAGGTTTTTAATGTATTGATTCCGAGGGAATTCAGACAGGGACTTGAAAGAAATTCGACTTATCGAGGTTCACTGTAATGTATGAATCAATCTTTTTTTTAATTAATTTTTTTCTTCTTCTGTTTTGTCTTTCAGAGTCCGTTGGCGTCTCGGATCCACTGTCCGTCGCCGTTGGGCGACCCCTGCAGCAGTTGCTATTCCAGCGACGAGCGGTCCATCGGCGGCGGCAAACCGTCGCCCCAGGGCCCCGTGTGCTCGTCCACACCGACGCCCCAGCACCAGCAACAGCACTCGTCATCCTCGACAGTGTCGTCTCCTTACGGTCCCACCACGGGTTTGTCCACCCCGTTGAGCGGCTATTGGCAGACCAAGAACGGCGGCTCTGCGTCCGGCGGTCGAACTTCGCCCGGGGATTTGGGCTACCATACGCTCGTGACTCGGGGTGGCGGCGGTGGTGGTGGTGCCGGCGCCCTGTCGGCGTCTGCGGGGCCCCCAGTGGATGTCGGGCTGCCTTTGGGGTTGAATTTGACCCATGGGTTGAGCTCGAACGTGCAGCAGAACAATTCTCCTTCTTGCAGGTCAGCGAACACTTTTTTCCCATTATTATTTTTTAAAATCCGAATAAAAAATAAAAAGAGGATTCATTTTTAGAATTTTTTTCTTTCTTTGTTTGCTGCTGCGCACCAGCAAATTTACGAAAATTATGCGACTGTAGAAAACATGGAATAGACGTTGTGCAAATTTTTTCTTAGGTGCTGTACTGTACTTACGTTCACATGCCATCTAAAATTTGCTGGTGGATTTCGAAAAAAAATCTGCTTTCGAGTTTTGAACTGTTGAATACTTGTATTTACCAACATGCGAATAATTCGGCTGCGAAAATGTTGACCCCGGAATTACTTCGTCCTCTTTCGGGGTGCTGTGAGATTCTAATTTAATTCTGTAAATGACAAAAAAAGGTAGTCCTCTTCCGAAGTCGGAAAGGCAATCGCTCAAAAAGAAGGAATGCAAAAAAGTGAGCGTTTATTAACTTATAATTTAAAATACAGTACTCGTATACTATGCATTGCATGTACAGTAAATGATCGGAATTGCATTTACATGATCGAAATGGTTTGACTCGTTGTTGTGATTCATTTTATATTCTCTGTGCACTTGATGTTGTTGTTTACTTGCTCCTTCGTGTCTCGATTTCTTTTGATATTCGTTACAAAATCGCCCTCCCATCAAAATACTCATTGCATTTCATGGAAAATTGCGGGTTATTTTCTATAATGGCTTTCAAAGAAAATGTGGAAAGATAACGAACAGACCTTGACTCGATATATATATTCATATATATATATATATATATATATATAAATTTTTTTTTTTTTACTTCGCTGCTGAATTTGAAAATGACCGCTTTTGAAAATCTAGCTGGCGTCGGAATCCGAGCTTGTTTGTATTCTGATCAGCAATTTGCACCAGTCCTTGAAAGTAAGGCCGTAAAAATGAAGCTTTATATTATTCTTTTCTTGGCTGAATCAAAGGAATTAATTCTGAATTTTCTGCCGCGTTGAACCGCAAAAAAAATGGATTGTAGAAAAACCTGGACGGAGAACAAATGAGGGAGGAAAGCTCAAAATTGAGTGGAACAAAGAAAATAACTGCAAATTAATCATGTGCACGCCTATGCCCTGACTGCATATTTAGTATTTTTTTAACGCCGATGTGAGAATCTTCAAAAAGTCTAATTATAACTATTTTTCGCGAAATATCTTCAAGTCGTCATTATCCCGGGCAATGGTTACAAACTCGAATTTGAAAATTGGGCCCAGAAATGAAATTGAAAATATTTTTACAAAGAGAATCATTTTCTATTAATTAAATATTTCAGAACAGTGAGATTACTGATATAAAGTGACAAATTGATCTGAGCCATTTTCGTTTCTTGAAAATATTCTTTGTGATGCGGCTGTTCAGAAAACTCAAGCAAAGGAAACAAGACCAATTTCCCCCCAACCTTGTGAATTAACTGCCTCAATTCTCGATTCTTTTTGCATTTCTTGAGGTAAAGGAATCTTTTGTAATTGAGTATTACAAAAGGAGGCAAGAAAAGGATCAATTCCAAAAATAAAACACATCATTCAGCCGTGGGGTTCAGCTGGGGATTTTCCTTAAGAAATCCCAAAAAAGATAAACAGATAAATGTCTTTCACTTTTCCCCCATAATCAATTCACAGAACACACTCAGTAGAAATATCAGAACAATTCAAATGATGACTGGCAACAGACTGACTCAGGAATAATGAATATCCAAAATGTTGGAAGAGTGACCTTCTATGGTTTTCGCTCTCTCCCTCCCAGGAATCTGCACTGTTGCACCTGATTGGCTGAAAGGGATAAATTAATGGCTCAAATATTCAATTAACATGGACTGCCATCTAACAGCAGCCCAATTCAACTATTCCAGAGCATTCTAGATAATTCAACATGCATTAAATAATCGGGGATCTAATTATTCTGCCAAAGCTTTCTTCGTCATCAGAACCTCGTGAAGGACCCTCGTGGTTGAAAGTTTATCACCAGCCAAGCGTTAAATCTAGCGGAAGTGGAACAAATCAGGATTTGTTGTGCAGAATCCGAAAGATGAGATTACGCTGCTTGAGTCAATATTTAGTTGCCCCAGAGACCCGCCGAGCTGGGTCAATTAGGCTCGTCCTTTTTTTCTGGTTCCGTTTTTTTGTTTTCTTCTTTGCCGTACAAGATTCCTAATCAACTCTTCAGCAAATTTCACCTTCTCTATTCTTCCTGCGAATCGAATATAAACGGTGCTGGTAATTGGCCTCTTTCTTAGGTGGCATAAGATGGAAATTGTTGCCGAATTTCCGCGTATTATTGATTATTACATAAAATATTTTCAACTCTCGCTACGTTTCAAGAATTATTTTCATCAACCGAAGAAAACCGTCTGGAAAAATCCGATTCATCTCGAATGACGTGCTACTTTTTTTCTTCTTCCGAAAGAATAACCACGTTGAAGAGAATGTTAATTTAATACAGAAAAGGCAAATAGGATGAATCCTGGACCTAACTGGAGATTCTCCTTGACCCCGTTTTCTCGCATTTATGAGGGCCTTTCATTTGCATCATTTGCTCATTATAACATTTGTGGCAGATGAATGTAAATTATTTTAAAATTTGAGGAATGCAGCCGCGGAATTCTCGGATCTTCTATTTTATGTTTTTTATGAGGCCCAATTAGCTCAATTTATGATTTCTAGGGACTCTATCTCGCATTCGAAGAGGATTTCAGGCTGTATTTTCAAGATTTTCTTTATTAGCGTTTGCATGTGTGGAACATATTTGAAAAATTTGAGGAATTGGGTAATCTTTCACCACGAAGGTTGAAGCTACACTTTTAAATTTTTCATCATTTCCTGTGCTCGAATGAAGTAACTGTATTCAGATTCAAGTTTTCGTCGTTAATTGGGATATTGATTAAATTACAAACGAATAGAATCTCCCAACAAATCTCAAGCGTATCAAATCTTATTTATTCTTGGTACTTTAATTATCCTGGATTGTAATTGTCGAAGCTAAAAAAACATTTTCGTCATCTCAAATAAATTTGCGATGCCCTAATAATCACGTGAATTTAAATCCAGATCCAAAGAGTTGTTCTCGAGCTTCTGGGTGAGTAGGTGTGACACGAGAACGAAATAAAAAATAAAAAAAATAATAATCGCGAGGAAATAAACAAGCCTTCGTCCCACCTTCTCCGCATTATTGCATCACCAAAAAAACACAACGAGGTCCGTCCAAAATGGACTCAGACACAAGGTCTATCTCTGCACACCTCGTTATGCAAGCTCGGAATAATGACTCACCTCGTCTGTCGAACCGAGTTATATTCTACAAGACAGGAACAAGAAAGAGAGAGACAGGAAAAAAATAAATACATATTCGAGGGATGGTTCGTAAAATTTTTGAGACTCGAAGCACTTATCATCCCGGGGGATTGTCGAGTATTTTTTTATATAAATAATTCCCCAGGCCATTCTTACTTTAAAAACAAATTTCCACCCAAAATTTTGAAAAGGCGATCAATGCCGAAGGTCATGTAAGATCTATGTGCATTGGATTTTTAAAAACTGAAAAAAATAATTGTAAATTGCGAAAATTGTATTGATCATCACCTGAATCTGAATGTGGTACAACCGAAAGTACCCTGCAAAATTGAATGAAAGATAAGTGAGACCCCCACATGCGGACGCCTCGACTTGGGGAAAATTCGACATGGGGACACTTATTTTTCCCATAAAAAATTGATGAAAAAAAAGGCCCGACATGAGGACACTGACTCAACAAAGGGACATTTTGTGATAAAATTGCAAATACATTTCAGGACAAATTACAAGAAACAGATATTTCCAACCCTAAAATTGNTTGACATAGGGACACTTATTTTATCATACACAATTAATAAAAAAGGCCCAACATGAGGACACTGACTCAACATAGGGACATCTTGTGATAAAATTGCAAATACATTTCTGGCCAAATTACAAGAAACAGATATTTCCAACCCTAAAATTGATGTAATAAAAGTTCTTGGGCATTTCTCTCACCAATTTAACATCCATTTAGCTCATTTAAAAAATTACCTCCAGCAGAGAGGGACTTCCTTCTCTCTTTTTCACCTGAATGTTATTTTTACAGAGAATGCCAACATTTCTATGTAATGTGCAGAGGTATCAGTATTCAATTCCCCAAATTTCCATATTGTGTTGAAATTTATTGATTGAATCAGTTTAAATTGGGAGACAATTTTCATTTTCATGGAATTATGGTGATTATTTTGTACATAAAACACCAATTAAAAATTATTATAATGTAATTCTAAGGGAAAATGAGACTTGACTTAGGGACACTCTTGATGCACCAATTTTGTCCGCATCTCGGGGTCTCACCGTATTCTTTTTATTTGTGTGTGTGTCCCAACGTTCTGGACAGAAATTATACTGAAAATTATGAAGTGTCCCTAGATGATAACTTGATGTGATGGAACAGTTTTTTTCGGTACTGGAAAATAAAAATCCGTATCCGTAAGTTCTTCAGTTTAAAACATTTGTCTCGAGACTCGCGAGCCATCATCCCTCGTCGACAGATACTTACAGGTTTCGAAGAGAAACGAATGAAAAGGTTGTCTTCAATTCCGACGATTAAGTTTCCTAAAAGATAATATTCTTCGTGTGTGTGTGTGCCCAATGTTCTGGAGAAACGCAGAGGCGGAAACTGTGGGCGATGATCGATCGCATTCCCGGCCATAATTGATTCCGACAGCGCGGGCCTCCGACACAACTAATTCTTTCGTGCTTGTGGGACTTGCAAACGTTTGACTCTCGCTGAGAGGGCTGTGGTTAATTCTTTTTTTTTTTATTCAATCACTAATCCATTCATTCATTCGTTTTCTATTTGACGAGCTATCTCGTCTCGATTCTTTTTTTTTTTCTCGAGTGGAACTCGGCGACCTTGGCTATAACAATTGTCTTACTTTCGCTTGTCCTCCGTTTGAATGCCATTCGTTTTTTTTTTT